TAATTTCGTTTGCCTTGCTTTTACCAGGAGTATCAGGGGGGAGGGTTCATGAAGAAAAAGAGTCTTCCCTTTTCCTTCCTTACAGCCATTTAAATTTTTAGTTGGAATCTTAGAGTGGCTTCCTTACTGGGAGGCGTTCACTTTGGTGGGCTTCACAGTCTGTCATAGCTGTGGTAGACACTTCTTTTTCAGGTGGGCATGTGAGATTGCCTAGGAGAGGAATGCATGTTGGGTAAGAGCAGCATCTGACAGGGCTGCATGCTCAAAGCTTAAAAGGAGAAACAAACATACCCCAATGTTCGTACTGAGCATATATTATTAGCTTAAATTCTGGTCTAAAAAAAGTCAATTGTATACGCATAGTGTCAAGTCTCCATACCAGATCTTCATCAGTGAAGATCTTCTCTGATTACCTACTGACTGCTTATCAGATTGCCAGTCAAATCAGGAGAGCAATACAACCCTTAGAAACTGAAAAGTGTCTGTGACTTTTACCCCTTAGCGTTGTTGTGATATTGGGTGGATATAGTCATTAATCCTTGATAATATTGCAGAAGGCTTCTGGCTTGTCTTTGTTGTTGTTGTTTGGGGTTTTTTTAATTTTGTCCTCAGTGTAGCTGTTGTGTATCTTAGAATAACAGAAATATCTAGCACTTTTCAAAGAAATTAAACTAAATACAAAGTGGTCTATCATATGAGCCAAACAGCAAATAGGATTATGAAGTATTTTCAGACCATAAATAAAGATTGTTGGCATATGATATGCAAAGAGAACAAAGAGAATTGCTGTTTTAATCTGTGGTTGATAGGAAATGCTACAGCTAATCCTAGGAAAGAAAGAGAAGAGCAGTCATCTGTGAATCTATAAATTTAAGAGATGAGAGCTATGTTTCACGCTATTACAGAGACTTGCAATAGACAGATTAGCTTTGGAAATTCAGCAGCCATGGTCTGTTTAAATGCAAAACCTGGCAAAAACACTTGTTTCTATGGCAGCATATTGGGATCTTATTTCCTTTTATCAGCGGAGGTCTGCAACAGGATGGGGTTGGAAATAATTCCTCTACCAGAATACTAATCTTTTCAGAAATCTGATTTGGCTTTGTCTGTTTTTCATCAGCATAGCTTCTAATTCTCTGTTGTTTGCAAGTATGGACATGTTTTTATTTTAATATCCACAGTGCTATATGCAGTGGAAACAAGAGTTACTCTAGAAGTTAACCTGCTCATAAGATCACAAAGTTTTCATTGTGTTGTACTACTAACAGGGGAAGAGCGAGGAGGAATAATGTGTGATAACTTTTCCTCATTGTTCCTACTTTTATCTTAGGCATTGGTCAGTGACAGAGAATCTTATTAAATTACTTTTACATATCAGCTTCTGGTATGCACTGAATTTCTCAAGCCCATTACAGAGATTCCTGGGTAATGAACCCAAGAATTTTATGATTACTGAATTCTCTTTACAGAGACCACTTAAAACACTTCTTGTAGAACATCAGCATACTGTCTTTCACTTAATGAAAGTGTAAAATAACTGATGTCAGTGAATGGATTGGTTTAGTTAACAGAAAGGTTAAAGATAAATAATTAACAGTGTAACTGGCTGTTCCAGAACAGGGCTGCAAAGCTGATGGCTGTAAAAGCACATTAAAAATTTCTATCACTGAATAGTCTGCAGGTCAGCGGGGGGGCAACCAAAGAAATGGATCCATAAGCATCAGACTTTTAACTATGGATTTTAGGAAACTGTATGAAGGAAGCCTCAGGCACTCGATTGCCACACTGGACTTTGTTGTCCTGCCAAAGTCTTTTGTGTTGCTGCTCCCAGTAGGTAGTGGGATCTCACTCCCATCAAGTATTTAGAGAGGTCAGTAGTGAATCAACTCTATGGTCACATCTAGAAGGACAATTAAGGAAACGTTTTTCTACCAGCGTAATAGTTTGTGTGAATTACTGAAGAGATGTGAATGTGTCTCTCACTCTGGTGATGTTTAGTGCACCTCTGACCGATGGGCAGGCTAACATGATGCCAGCAAGGAAGAGGTAGTAGCCAAGAGGTTCTGTGTCTGTATCAGTGTGGAGCTAACCTGAGCATGAGCAACAGTAGTCACATTAGTCTCAAGATCCACTCAGATTAATTTATTGTGCTTTGAGATAAATGAATTTTCATTCTTAATACTTGGTCAGATATTTCTGTAATGCACTGCAGTGCATTCAGAGGCTGGGTAAAAAAGTTGCAGTGAATAAATGCACTGCTGAAATTATACTACCTGCTCCAGCAATTAGTAATTCCCAACATTCAGCATACACCACATTGGGCTCTGCCTAATAGCTCTAAATCTTCATGACAGTAGAGCTCTGGACAGATGGAACTAAGGACATTGCATCTATGTAGTTGCCTTAACAACCAAATTTGTAATCACCTCAAAGAATGAAATCAGGTTTGTGTGGCATGACCTATTTTATGTAACACCATCTTGACAGGCATTAATTATGTTCTCATCCGTTAATTCATTATTGCTCAAATCCTGTATCAACTTTCTGTTATTTTACCTGATTTATCAGGGATAGATGTCAGGCTAGCTGGTTGAGAGTTACTTGGGTCAACATTCTCTCTTTAAATATTGGCATAATATTAACACTTTTCTTAATGTTTTGAAATTTCTGCAGTATTTCAAGACTTGTTGAAATTAGCATTAGCTAGCTAATGATGTTGATTTTAAACTATTTATTCCTTATACTATTTATTTAATAATTTTTGTTGCAAATATGTATGTTGGTTGTTCAGCCACTACATTTTCAAATGCACGTGTACTTACTGAAGACTTTGCACTTACCCTGCATCAACAGCTTGTCTTCGTCTAGTGATGTCCCTTGACATTACTGTTGGCCTCCGTCCTGACAGAATTTTATTTCCCAGTCTCCAGCTTCCCATGTGAGGTTTCTACATTTTCTCGCTTCTAATGGTGATTGTTGTTTGTTTTCCTTTTTTTCTCATTGCTATAGTTTTTATTGTTGCATTCTCTTTTTCATCTTCACTATGATAGACTTTCAGAGAAATGGGTGCTTTGAAGCAGCAAAGGATATATGCCTTCATACTCTGATCTTACTCTGCCTATACTCTTATAGGATATGTTGAGGACTCTTTAAACCTGGATGTGGGGGGGTCTTCCTGTCAGAACCAGTGTATACAAATATAGGTCAAATTGCCTAACGCTCTGCTTGTAAATCACTGTGAAATCTTTAGAGAAAAGAATCAGCTGTACCTAGTTCAGCTATGCATGCAAGGGTCACATGCGATATTCTTGCTTTAGGAATGCCATTTTTTATTCTTATTTTGGGCACTTTTTGTCCTCTCCAGGATTTAGTTTTATGAATTGTTTCCTATTCCTTTCAGGATCATTGTCTCCTTTGAAATACTCTTAAGATTTTCCAAGAATGAACATATTTTTCTGTGATTAAAGTTTTAAATAATCAAACCCATACATATATACGTAGTGTATATGTGTATATCTAGTGTATGTGTGTGTATATATATACACACACATTATCTACATATGCGTGTATGTATGTGTATACTCATATCGCCTGTATGTTTAACTGCATTTAAAATATGTCAGAAAAATATAGAGGTAAATAACGTATTGGAGTAGTAGCAAAATAACAGTGTTATACTTCTGTTGCTAAGTGTAGATGGACAGATGTTACTGAGAGTACAATTAATGCTCTGCTCATGTCCTTAAGCCAGAAAGAGTTATATTTAATTCCTGAGAAGTTATATGGTAGAAATTAACCCATAATTAAAGACTCCATGAAAACAGAAAGCATTTGGCTAGTCTTAATAGAACAAGAACTCTATTATGTTATCCAAAAAAACCCTTGGAGAATTAGTCCAGGACACAAAGCTGTGTGCAGTAGTCTGAAACCACAGGAAAAGGAGACAATATTATTCAGGAATTAGCTAAACACCAATCAGGACTGACTGGATCACTCCTCCAACAGCCCAAAGTGACCATATTTACCAGCTCAGACTCAACTTTATCATATTTCTTATGGCTATGTAAATCAAGAATGTGGTTGACCTGCATAAGACATATATCAGACCAAAGTCCAAATATAGTTAGGCAATTAAGTGAAAGGGTAGGTGTTAACAGAGCTGCAGTGAATAAGCACAGCGAGAAGGTGGCCAGACGCTGATGAAGCAGTAGAGGACAGTGGCTTTGTGCTGAATCAGTGCAAGACGTGCATGCTGACTCTACCCTTTCTTACTTTTGCTCCTCCCAGGTGTTCCACAAAGCCCTAAATGTGAGTGTTTTTCCCTCATGTGTGGACATCTCAGTTTCACTGGTGTTGGTGCAATATTTTGCTTCTCATTGTGCTACAAGGAGTGGTTTCTTAAAAGTTTTTCCCCTATCAATTATTATTTCAGAGTGAATCGCTTGTTACTTCAATATTTGCTCAGTAGGTTCAAGGCCAGGTAATTTCTCAGTGTGTTTGAGTAGGTAAGTCAGGCTGTACCTAACCACACTGTAGAGCAATTGCTTTGATTTGAGATTTGTTACTTTGTGTGTTTATGTGCACTGCATCTCTCAGTTGTGCCTGCCTGGTAATGAGCAAACTGAGTGAACCAGACTTCATTAAACTTCCGTAAAACATAGGTGTAGAATTAGTCATATGTGATTCAGGATGACTCCATTTCCATGCTAGCCTTCCTGTCATGATGTTGCTCTCCTATGTAGTGATTAAATTAACCAATAATAACTTTTTTTAAAGCAGTGGTTAGTTTAAAAGCCTGAGAAGAAAATGACTGTTAAAATAATTACATTTCCAGCTCCAGTTTCCAGGTTAGGATATTATGGACACATTTGTTCCTATCACATTTGCTTTGTGGTTCAGTATGAATTTTCAATAGATGACTTTGCGATAAGAAAGCAGCAATTCAAATGCAATTATATAAACAGGAAGATCAGCCTGGAATTAGCGTGGAGAGTATAAAGCACACACAGAGCTTGTGCTGGGTCACTGCCTCTCCCAGCGCAAGGCAGAATCAGGTTCCTGTAATAGGGAAGAATTCAGCTGACAAGAGGTTGGTCTTTCCAGACTTGCATTGTTGCAGCTACAGGGTAAACCAGACTGTGTAATGAATGGCTTTTGCTATGGGAAACTGACAGCTGGAAGAGACTAGAGGGTGATGTCCATATATTTGTAGATGCTGTCATTTAAAGTTTGTAGTTTATAGAGTAGACCCTGGAATTGTCTCGGAGCTAATCAAAGCTTTGTTCTCGGGATCCCCCAGCAGGTCTGAGAAATGAGGTCAGCACAACAGACAGATGAAGTGGGGATTCATTGATTTGAACTCTTTGCTGATGTTCTTAATTGTAATTTGCTTGAATCTATTATTTAATTCTTGGTAGTGTTCCCACTTCATCATGCCTCTAAGCCAACTGGAAAGTAAAAAATACAGTGGTATGCTTGATATGCACAGCTGTTTCTTTTTCTCGTGAACATTTTATAAGATGCTTTCTTTAGAAAATTATTTAAACCAGTGAGATTATTTTAGCATCTCTGGTTAATTCTAGAGCTCATGTTCTCTCACATATGTCACATTTTCAAATCCTTTAGTTCCTGTGATTTTTCTGTGTCAGCATTTTATCACTTGTTAATGAAAAGTTCCATGTAATATGCTTTAGTGGGGAAAAAGTGAATTTGTTATATGTTGTTAATGGCCTGTTTACCCTTCTTTTCTGTTTAGTGGTTAGTACTATTTCAATTAAACGTCTGAGACTGGAAAGAATTTGTCAGGCTATAGCTAAAAAAGTTAAGATTACTTCTAGTCTGTGACTATCATAACTGTTCTTGTCAAATTCTGAGAAAAGGGCTGGAAGGTATATCTAATTTTACTTAGGGTTTGCTTTTGTTTGTTTGTTTCTCCCCCATCTAGCATGAGTCCTTTCTTTGTGATGTCTCTCCTCTTTGGCCTGACTTTCGATCAAACAGCATCACTTTGTGCTCCTTCTGAGTATATAATCCATGTGGAGAAAAGAGAATGTGCCTACTGCCTGGCCATCAACACCACCATCTGCGCTGGATTTTGCATGACTCGGGTACAAGGCATTACTCTGTTTTAGGCAGTTGTTTCTATAATGACCATCACTGCAAAACAAGTGCCTATTTGCTCTGGAAAATTGTGTGTAAATGATCCAATTCTAATAATGTTTGTCACAGACAGAAAAATCACACTATCATCGTGTTTTCAGGTTAGCTTTTTGCAAGGGTATAGATGAGAAATGCCAAGACTCCAGAACTACGGAGTTTGTAACACCAGTGGCATAGCAGAGAACTGACTGCTGCTGTCACTGCAGAACCTCTGTAGTCAGTTTGTGGGGTCAGGATGGAACAGGTGAGAAGCAGATTGTATTTAGTCACTGTTATTTAATGTAAATGACTTGGGTAACTTCTACTCCCACAGTGCCACAAAGCTAGCTGTTATGACAGCTAGCTGTGCAGAATATCTCGCATGTAGGCATGCCAAACACTATGCTTGAGCTTCACTTTTCAACATAGCATTTTAAGTTCCACCTTGGTCAGTAGGTAGCCAATACCGATTACAAAGCACTGTTAGCACTCTGAGCCAAGCAGGTTAGTTAAAACCGTAAAAGGTGAACATATCTACAGGGGTAGCGAGCCCCAATCACATGCAGATTCAAAATTACAGATCTGAACAGAAGTATGCTGAAAATATCAGAGCCCATCTAAGTGTAAAGAGGTTTGCTTTCTGCACGTTTGAGAAAACATCAAAGGAAGTCTTCTGACACTCATGTATGCTTCAGTGAAACAACACATTTCTTTTTTTCTTTTGTAGGACAGCAATGGCAAGAAGCTGCTACTCAAAAGTGCTCTGTCCCAGAACGTGTGCACATACAAAGAGATGTTGTATCAAACAGCACTGATTCCGGGCTGTCCTCATCACACCATCCCTTATTATTCCTACCCTGTGGCTGTGAGCTGCAAGTGTGGTAAATGCAACACTGATTATAGTGACTGTGTTCATGAGAAGGTTAGGACAAACTATTGCACTAAACCACAGAAGCTCTGTAACATGTAAGCTTCCAACAGAATGCGGTCGAAATGTACCTCTCTGCTCACAACTAAACAGAAATAAAAGTGTATTTCATAACAGGTTTGCAAATTGGTGTGCACAAAGTTTTATTCTAAAGATGTATTACTAGTTAGTGTATTACTAGTTAGTTCAATTAACTGGATGTTCTGTGACACGCACAGAGCAGAATCATAGGTCTGCAGGTTTGTATTTAGAACCCACCTGTAATTTACTTTGGGGAAGAAGGAGAAATGACTGTGTATGTATAAGCCTTTGCTCATAAATCCCAAGTACTTTGTGAAGAGATGCTCAGAGACAAAACAGCTGATACATTTCAGAGTTAAAAAAAAGGCAACGCATACTCTTAGTATTGAACACTTTAATTAGATTTTGACATATACTTACAGCCTTCATATTAGCAACGGTATTTTTCCATATATGTAATAATAGGTTTTTTTGAGGACCCTAGCTTCAGTGTAGTCAACAGGGACTAAGCACATACAGTTTGCTTATCTACACTATAGATCTATGTCATCACCACTGTTGTCCAGACCTGTGTTCATTAGGCATACTTTTTCATGTCTGCGCTAGTGGAGTAAGCCTCTCTTTTCTATTAAGTACATTGTTTGAAAAAACTTGTCTCTGTGAGCACTGAAGAATCAGTGAAGCTTCAAATCTTGCTACTCTGTTCTCCAGAGGGGGAGTGTAGTACCATCAAACTTAAAGTAAAACTCAGAAAAAATTTTTCCCCACTGTTTCAGCTGTTCCCTTGTGCATGGGAAAGTGAGCGGAGCCCCACCCTGTGTGCTGAACATGCACAGGTGAGAAGTGCAGACCCAGAGTAAGGAAATAAATGTAAACTAACAAATGTTTCCTTTCCACTGAGATTCCCCCCTCCCTGCCCCTCATGAGTGCTATTGTTTCATTGGACCTGATAATCTGTGGCAAGCTATGATTGTACTAAACCAATCCCTGAGAATGAGAGCTAGTTTCCACCTGATTTAAGTGATTCCAAAACAAAGTAGAAAAGCTTATAGAATCCAGTGACAGAGTTGCAACTTTGCCCCTCACCTCCATTACCTACAACAGGAGTGATGAAATCACAGTTTGATTAAATTGTGCCTGCTCAAGTAAATGTCATCTCTGCTGATCCATGAGTACTGTAGACGGGACAGCAAGACTACAGTGAAGGCATGAACAGGGCTGACAAAAAATAAAATTCTCCATGCTTCCTTAGCTGAGGAACAGCACTACCATTCTGTATGTCTTTGCAAATGCAGCCAGGAAAAAAAAAAAAAAATCTAAGTGTGTAAATAAAATAAATGGTAGTAAAAGGATTTTTAACTATGTAACGTGTCATGTATAAAAAAAAAAACTATTTCAGAGCCAAGAATTTGCAGCTTTGTGTAGATGCACTAAAGGTTCAAAACCCCATTGAATACAATTTTCAGGTAATACATCCCACTAATGTTAAATCACTGCAATAGCTTTGTCTTTTTTCACCCCTTCCCAGCCATGTGTTTTGCCTTGTAAAGTGGGTTACTTCACTATAGTGCTCTTAGTTGTTCAATGATTGTAAATGTGTCTATGAAAAACAATTTTCACTTTTAAAGTGGAGTATTGAGTGGAACAGATTTATCCAAAGGTTATCAGGAGAGCAGCATTCGTGCTCTTTCAGTTATCCAGGCAGAGATTTGCTTTATTTTGGCAAGTAATAGACCCAAACAACCCCTAGAGCCAGGAAGATGAAGACCAACTTGTTATGCCCAGCTTGAACCGCCAACTATACTCAAAGATTGCCATTGTGCCCACAGAGAATTAACCTGCTGATAACCCTCAGAGCCACTCTACACCCAGCTGTTGGCATAGATCTTTTATTTGTCTGTCTTTCTGTTTATTTTTGTTTCCAGCAAAACCAGAAGGCGGCAGAAACCAATGACACACCTACTAATGTACTCCTGCTTTTGTTGGTATTAACATAAAGTTTCAGTTTTGTTTGTGTGGGAGGGAAGTTGCATACATCTGCTATACATTTTTTGACCTTTTAAAATTCTGGTGTATTACTGTAAACATCAGTATTTCTTCTTGGGAAAAGCCTCATGGTGCTGGCAAGTGCCAATTAGACCTTAAAACTGTTTATCTACCTTCCCAAGAGTTTCACTTGATTACTTTTTATGGAGCAGCACGAGGTGCCATTCCATGGTTAAGCCCAGAGGCAAGCAGGGAACTATTGTGAAGAGTTCATTTTAGGGGTTGACTGTTAACAGCATCCAGAGACAACTACATAACCAGTTAGGAAAAATCAATAGGGCAGGGCTTTTTTTTTTTCCTTCTTTAATTTTTATAGTCTCCTATACTATTCAGTGTGCAAACGAGGGAAAGTAGATGACAGAAAAAGCAGCAGTCCTAAGATAAGCATATGTTAAGTTTACATAGCATTCCATAGTTAACAGATGAAAAGTATTAAAAAGGAAGTAAGAAATGTCCTATCTTGGCAAGAGGGCCCTAAGGCTCTTGTAAAGTCTTTTAATGGCCTCTGCATAAACCCAGTTGCTAAGAGTGTGCTATTCTTCTGAGCACAGCAGGTTTGACATTACACACTTTAGTTAGCAGTGGGGTGATATCTACAAACTTTCAACCAGGTACTGAACAGCAGACCTTACTCACAAGGTACTGTGATGCTGAAATGAAGCAGGAAGTAACTTATTTCCTTAAGTTTTCTCCTGAAAATCCAGTTCTTGCTCTTCTTCACCCTCATTAAGGGTGACGCTGGAATATTTGATGTTCTTGCCACCATCCATAGCAGTATCTCCATTCACTCATGCAATTTCTTATGAAAAGTAGCAGTTACTAACCTGTACCTCACAGAGGTTAGGAACTAGCACTGAAGACATCAGTGGCCCGCTCTCCACCCTTTCTCATCTCAAGAATTCTCTCTGCCCCCCCGCCCTCCCTTCCAGGACCCATATGCTATGTACAAAAAATGACTTACATTGTATATAGCCCTCAAGCAATCAAAGGTACAACCTGAAACAATGCCAACTGCCACAACACTCAGTGTCTTGAAGTTTTGCATAAAAATATAAAAGTTAATTTTTAGCAGAAACATCAAATAATTAATATTTAGAAACAGATGCTCAAACAAAACACGTACTCTGTGAGGATGATAAATATATATTCAATTGCCCGCTCTTCTGGCATCCTGTAACTGAAAATTCAACATCTCCATGGGAAAGGTGATAATGACCTGGCATGTTTCAGGACCAATGTCCTACCACCATCTCTTTACATAGAATAAGCCCTTTCTAACATAGAGGGAGAAAAGATTATGGAATGGTAATATTATTCTTCTTTTGCAGCAGGGATCATGAAGACAAAATAATCTAGTATGCCATGCTTGTTGCATGTAATCTTATTCTCATGTACAGGAGCAAAGTCTAAACAGTAATTCCAGCCTACTGATACATTCATTACCCAGCTCTAATCCTACACTGTATTGCATCAGTTACAACCATGGCAGCACCTGTTTGTGCCACCACCACCTATTAAACAGGTTAGTTAATCCCAACTCCATTCAAAGCATGAGAGAGAAATAAATCAGTCTGTAAACGTTTTTTCTGACCAACAAGATGAGTTTTTAATCTGATGATCAAAGTTTACTGAGATTGAAATGCAAAACATATGACAGACAAGAAATTGTCAGTATGTGGCAAACGATCAGATTCCTAGTTAATACTACATACTGTGTTGTAAACTCATTACTGCTCATTTTTATAAAATTCTACTAGCTTCCATTTTTAAATTAAATATTACACTCAGAAAGGCCATTAAGATGAATCAAAGTACTTAAAACAATTTAATCAAACTGAAAATCAGAACTCTGACATATACAAAACATGAATGATCTGGAATATTACACAAGCAATGTTCCCATCCCTGGCAAAGAAGGGTCTGAAATAGTAATCTCCTGTCAGCTTGACTGCATTCTCATGAATTACCAGGGTCAAATTAACCACGACACCTAAAAATACTACTGAGATGCAAGGTATATTTTTTTTCTTGTTTACGCAAGTTCATTTTTAGGAATGTGATTGTAGCTCCCACTTTGCTTGAAATGATAAATAAAGGAACCAGAATTCACAGGATACAAATATGAAATCTAATTTCCTTGGGAAAATCTTGCTTTCCGTTTTGCAGTTTTCATGAATGTTCCTGGAATCTGATACTCTATTCCAAACACCTTCATTTTATTTCAGCTGCAGCGAAGCCTCTGTGAAAGACTAAGGGAATCTGTTAGGTGGCCCTCCTTGAGCAGGGGCGTTGGCCCAGATGGCCTCCAGAGGTTCCTTCCAACCTCCACCATTCTGTGGTAATAGCAAAAGCTTTGTCCAGGGCAACTGCAATAATAAGCTGACAGCATTTGCATGCTTGTCATGAATTCTACAGAAGGCATGAACTGTAATTGTCATATGTATAATTTGGTGATAAAGAAATGCCTTTGCAGGCAAGGTTTCAAAATTTAAATTCTCCAAAAACACCATTTAATAGAAAATACAGAGGATTTTGCAGGAACAGTAGGAGCCCTACTTCTGTAAGATACATCCCTTACACCTATGGTTTAAACAATCCAGTTACGGCTAAATATATACAAGACTACTTCTACAACTGTTGGACCAAGAGAGGTTAGTTTCAATTAAGTTACAAAAGACTTTCTGGCGGTGAGAAAGTCTGGTACTCCCCAGCCCCCAACACAACTGTAAAAACCGTGTAGTGACAGCATGCGAAAGAGCTGTGGACTCCCAAGTTCTCAGCAAATAGCTGCAACATTAATTGCTACTCTCTAGTTTGTGAAAAGCATAGAGAATGATAGGAAAAAAATTAGGAAGTAGGTATTTACCCAACAAAGCAGCAATTATGTTACCTAGTAAATGGCAAAGAAACAAAATTTTCAGCTTTGAGATCAGACTGTGCCTTCTCAAGGTGTCCGAGCCTTTAAAAAGGGTATTTAGCACAGGAAAATTTAAGTCAGCTTACTATTAAGCAGCACTTGCACTTAGTAAAATAAAAAAGGGAACTAGTGTCACTTACAGCAATAAGCAGCACTGCAAAACTGTTATAATGCTCCCTTATGGCTGGGACTGACAGATTTGTCTTCAGTATGAACAATACGCATGCAAAAAACAGCAGTCTACTTTTATGGTTAACGTCTATGCAAAATCACCCAGAAGAAAATAAGTAACATGACTTCTTTTACACTTAAGAAAAATCCAAATTAAGACATTTGGGTTGTGTTAATGCACCTATTTAAATATACATTTACATGCCCTCGGGACACTTTGTCCCTTTGGCCTTACTGCGGTATTTGTGTTCAACTTTAAGGCCCTCAGGTCCGGTGATAGCACTCTACTGAGGTGATGATTCCTTAGGGTCAGGTGTTTGCAAGATGCCTTTTCACATAACTAAGCAACGGATTTGCAGACAATCCTAACAACCTTACCTCTTCTCAACATCTTAATTCTGGCGAGGAGGTAACAGAAAAGCATGTGAGCACAGAACACAAAGCAGGTTTATAGGGGGCTTGGTCGATCAGAATCCACGCGGAGGCAAATTTGTCCTTTGAACGTCATCGGCCTCCCCTTCAATACCGACATTACTGTCGCGTTCGCTAGGCCCCTCTTACCCGGGGAAGGCGTGGAGACTGGGTCGTCCTCTCACTCCAGCTTCTTTGCTGCTAACCAGTTTACAGCCAAGCGCCTGGGCTTCATGCGACTACTAACCACCCGTAACAAGGAGCGTGGAAACGCCGCGGGCTCGGGGGCTCATATGCTGGGGCGGCCGCTCCCCCTCGACTCCTGCGGCCGGCCGGCCCTCGCGGCCCAGCGCAGAAGGCCCCCGACGCAGGTGCTCAGCGGCAGCCACGCTGCGGTCGATTTTGAGCAGCACAATCCCACACGAATTAACACGTCTGAGGTTGGGGAATGAAAACGCAACCGCGCAGCCCGCAGCTTCCCTCCGGTTCGTGCGGAGAGGGGGAGTTCGCCGCC